AATATTTAAAATTATTATAAATAATTTTAATTATTAAATAAAATTGCAGGCAAATTTGCCTGCAAAACACTTGAAGGATAGTATGTCCTATATTATAAATAGATATTTCTTTAAATTATAATTAAATTATAAATTATAATATAAATTTTTAAATTTATAAATTAAGTAATATATTTAAAACTTTAAAATAATTTTTAATAATTAAATATTAATAAAAATTACTTTAGATTTTAAAGATAATTATTATTAAGAAAATATTGATATAAATCATCTTTTAATTTAGAAATAAATAAATAATTAAAAATAAATAAAATATCTATATATTTAAAGTAACTTTTAATATATTAATAATAATAAAATCATTTTTAGTAATATTTATAAAACTTAATAAATTTAAAGCAATAAAAATTAATTTTAATAAATATTATTATTTTTAAACTTTAAAAATATCTTTTATTAAAAAAAAATTAATAAAAGTTTCTCATCAGATATAGAGATAACTTTTATTAAAAGAATAATAATAAAGTTATTTTTGAATTTTAAAACAACTTTTATTAAAAAATAAATATTAAAACTTTGATAATTTTATTATAAATTTATAGATTATTTACAAATTTGTAAATATAATTCATAAATTGTAAAATTATATATATTTTTTACTAATAAAGAAAAATAAAATAATGGAAATTTTTTTTTAACTTAAATATATTTATTTAATAAAATATTATACTATAATAATGTTACTTAAAATGCCAAATTAATGTTAAATTATGATATTAATTGATCAAACTTAATAAACTAGTTTATTCATATATAAGATAAATAAAATTTGAAGTTCCTATTCTTTATTCAAAATACAACCAGGTTACTATTTTGCTCTGAAAGCATTTAGGACATAGCCTTGGATTCTGATGAATCTATGATAATATGCCTTTATTAATAACAAATACAACCAATTAGAACTTATTACTTAGTTCCATTATTAGAGAGTACAATGAACACATTCACGTGCTACTGCGCAAAAGACGTTTCATAAAAAGTGGGACAAATTCAATACCAAATATCTTGATAGGGTATCCGTTTCCCACCTTCGTTAATTAAACGCAACATCATACGAACATCATTGGTTCTAGTTCATTCTCGCAAATTTCATGAGTAACGTTTTAGAAAATGTCATTTTCGGCGCGAGAACCGGGAATTCGCTTTATGACACGAAATAATTGTTGACGATTTTTGTTATTTTTACAACGAGGTTTCTAGAAAATTTAAACTTTCGATAGAACTTTATGAAATTTTTTTCTCGAATGTGTTTTGTGTGTATATATCTTACTTATTTAAGCCGATTCGAAAATTCATTTTGGAATCATGTAATTCGCGGAGAAGTTATTATGTGGCGGGGTTGTTTTTTTTTTCGCAACTTAGACTCCGTCATATTTATCCAAATAAATACGAACATTATCATATGACTGACAATAAATTAAGAAAAATAAGAAGACAATGGTTAAACAAACCATTCCATTAGTTGAAGTAAATATATATGCACTATTAAAATAAATTTGAATAGTCAACAAGGCGCGACAATTTCTCTCCAAATATGGAAAATGCCAAGAAATCAGTCAATTCTTTAGAAAATGCCAAGACTTTGTGTTACTGTTTGTGTTTCGAGATTTGCTCCAAAATGTTGGTGCTCGATGCCTACTTTGGCATGAGAAAATTAACCCCTTTCAATCAAAAAAATCTTCATAACCCAGTTCGTTTTTTTTTTGATTCCCTTCGTTTTCGCTTTAACCTCTTTTGCTTTTGTCCATTTTAGATAAATAAAGCATTGGTCATGTATCCGTAGATTCTTTAAATAAATCGATGTTTCGATCGCGTTTTGTTCTTTTATATTTGTTATAAAAAAAAAAAAATACAAAAAAAAAATAATCAAATCAATCATTCCTTTCCGCGGTTGATATAAATAAGAGCTTATTTGTAATAAATAAATAAAAAAGTTATTTTAATCCACTTGAAGTAAGGAATCTGTAAAGTAAGTTTCCTTTACTTTATTCGTAATAATAATAAGGAACCACTAAATGTTTTACTAAATAATGTTTTCGCGTGTTCCGCAATTCGTTTAGCTCTAACCATGCGTATCATACCAATTCCTATATACGAACATAATTATTCTTACCTCATCGTTGACGACAAAGCTAGCGAGGGTTTGTATTCCATATATACACATATATATGAAGCAAAGCTTTCATTCATAGGAAAAGCCATGCGATAACTTTTTTTTCCTTTTAAACAATTTTAGCCGCAGCGGTCGACCCGGCTGAACCGCAAAAATTACTAGCTGTTCTTGCTCAAACAGGCGCGAAATTAACTTCGATATTGACAACACATCATCATCAGTGAGTTTTATATAATTCTTTTTCGTAAATTGCATAAAAACATTTATAAATTAACATATACAATAAAGGCGTCATTCCGTCGGAAATATCGAGTTGGTGTTGGCGAAACCGAATCTTGCAGTGTATGGCGCCGATGCACGAATTCCAGGTAACGCGTCAATTTATGAGGCATCACATAAAAAAATTATTAAAATCTTGTATAAGTTCTCGATTAATTTAATTAACAAATGATTTCTAGAATTAAATTATGTCTGCAAACATAATGAAGAATTCACAGTACGTATAAATAAAATAATAATCACGTGAGTAAGAAACGGGCGCTGACGAGAAATCTCGATTTTAACTTAGGTTGGCACGTTAAAAGTTCGATCATTACATGCAGCGTCACACACGAAAGGTAGCGTTTGTTATTATGTTCGAGACGGTAATGAGATGAATGAGGAATTAGAAAGGGCTATATTTACCGGAGACACATTATTAACTGGTAAGGAAGAATACTTATTATTGTTATTATTATTATTTAAAAAGAAATATATTAAACAATTTTTTTGTTATAGGTGGATGTGGTAAATTCATCGAAGGTGATGCAAAGGATATGTATAACGTTCTTCACAACGTTTTAGGACAATTACCCAAGGACACCAAAGTTTACTGTGGACATGAATGCGCTTTAAATAATCTTCAGGTAATAATATATTTTTGAAGATGAACATATATCATAACTCGCGGCATAAACATTATGCGTACTAATATAATTGTTGTCATTATTTAGTTTGCAAATACTATAGATCCAAGCAATCAATATTTACGCGTAAGTTATATATTTATTTATTCATCGCCAATTTTTCTCTCAAGGGATAAATTTAAATTCATAATTTGTCCTACAATTAGAAAAAGTTAGCATGGTCACAGGTGGCACAGTGCACGGTACCTAGCACGCTTGCAGAAGAGTTTGAATATAACCCGTATCTGCGACTTTCGTATGTTTTTTTTTTTTCTTTTCTTTTTTTTTTTTTTAAAAAAAAAAAACCTCTGATAAAGAACCTTTATATTAAGGTATTGAAATTGACATTGATTATATATTTTTTTTATTTAGAGAGTCCTCCATTCAACAAGCTACGAATGCATCAGATTCATATGAAGTTATGAATATGTTAAGGATGTTAAATGATAATTTCAATAATCAAAGCAACGGAATAAACGGATTAAGTAATGGAATGAACGGGGTAAATGGAATTAATGGAATGAATGGAATCAATGGACTTGCAGGTATGATGTTGCAATAGATTTAATATCGTATTTAAGTATAGAAAAGGATTTTTACACATATATGATAAAGGAGGATACAGATAACATTAATATTACGTTATATAATGAAAGAAACACAATGCTTATGAAATTTAGTAAGGAGAAATGATGGGGAAAGAGGGTGCGAATTATGTCATTATCATGTCTTGTCATTATCTTATTTATTTTATATACATATATTTAATCATATGATGATTTATGAAATATGAAATATGATTTGATCTTATTTTTTTATTTTTTTTTCTTTTCTTACAGTTCTTTAATTATTATGTAAAAATTTTTAAATTCTTAGAAAATTTCGACTCATATTTAAAAATGAACATATTCGAGGCAGAAGATTTAAATATATTAAATACGATTATACGTAAGAATGGGGTACACCAGCAATGAAAAAAAAAGAACGTTTAATAATAATCATAATCATAATAACGAGAGTTTCCACCATATTCTACCCTTTATATAACTTGCGATCGCCCAAATTTTTACTTTTTATTTAATTTATATTTATATTTGTATTATAAGTAATTTTCCCCTTATATTTTTGCTGTGAAACGAACCAAATAAAATTACAACACGCAATAGGAGATAAATCCCATATGGAAGATAAAATTGATTTCACTTGAACGATTCAAGATAGTGCGGCTTATTTTTAACCAAAAAAAAAGGCATGCAAAAAGTAACCACCAATATTATGAACCAGCCTTTTTTTTAAAATTAGATGGTTGGTGAAGTTGGTTTCTCAAAAGAAAGTAAAGTCCAAAGAGAAATTCTTTCAAGAAATTCTATTAAGAAGATCTGTATAGAAAATAAAACCACTTGATGTATTCAATTTATTATTGGATTAAATATTTTCTTTTTCTATCTTGTTTCTCCTGATGATTGATTTACTTTGCATTAAAAAAAGTGTCACACATTTCATTAAAATATCGATCTGCAAAGAAAATGAAATGATTATATTTCCCATTAAATTCTGTTGGAGAAAAGAGACATATCATTCGTAGTACTACCAAAACTTTTTGGTGACAAAATTTCTGGCCGAAATTATATCATCACGTGATAACCTCATAACGTTCATTATTATTATTTTTTTTTATATTATTTTTTTATTTTTTATAAATGAATTGTATTGTTTTTTATTTTTTTTATTTTTTTATTTTATTTGCTCACAAAGGGAAAAAAAGAGAAATCAAAAAAAAAAATAAAAGAAAAAAAAAAACTTTGAACATATATGTAAAAACAAGAAAAACCTAATTAAATACCTTAAATAAAATATACCTTAAATAAAATATTCATAACAAAAAAAAGTCTTATGTAGATTTAATTACGTAACTTAGGGGAAAAGGGCATAGATATAAGTGGTATACTGTAAGTGTGGTGTACTCAAAAGAACAAATATGGTAAAAAAAAAAAAAAAGTAGTTTAACATTTTTGGATTTTTTTTTAAAAAATAAATTGGTTTAAAAATTTGTCACACTATTCGATTCTTTTTAATGCATTTAATGCATTTATGCGTGGCTCATATATAGAGAGATATAGAGAAAGATATAGAGAGGAAAAAAAAAATAAGGTAAAATAAGGTAAAAGAAAAAAATTTTACGAAAAAATTTTTTTCTTTGGTTGATTATTAAATATTAAGTATGATATTAAAAATTAATAAATAATTTTTAAAAAAAAAGAAAAAAAAAAAGAAAAAAATATATAAATACAATTGAAAAAAAAGAAATCTATTTATATTTTTGTTATATCTATATACAAGGAAAGAGTTGCCTTTTTTTTTTTTTTTTTAGTTTTTTATGTACAAAAAAAAAAGGGCAACGTTGTAAAAGGGAAAAAAGGGCAATTGAATGTTTTTTTTTGAAAAAAATTGATTGAAAATAAAGCGCCGGGGATTATATTTTTCATCAATTGACAAAGGGGTACTTTTAAAGAGAAACAGAAAAAGGAAATTTTAAAGAAGACATATATGTAATGGAACGTTTCGTTTTGTAAATAGCCTAAAAGGGGCAAGGAGCAGATTAACGGGCAAATGCAATCCATTTTTTTGTTTTTTTTTTTCATATTATAAATTATAGGGAAACGCGTAAAATTTTTTTTTTTTTGCATATACTTTGGTCATTACAAGTGTATGCTTTTCTTTCGATGAATTTTTTTCTTCTTCACTATGAAGGGCGGCAGAAAAAAAAAAGAAAACCATCGGAATTGAAGGCTAAGGAAGAAAATTTGAACAAATGGGTTTGGTTAGTCTACTCGTTTCCAAAAGGTTTTTCTTTAACTTTGTAAAAATTTAATACTTACACATAATACACATAAAATAGGGATGCGAAAGGGAGGTGTATGAAAAAAGAATTTCGGAAATTTAGTGATAGAAATGTATTGCAGAGAGAGACTAAAAGTTAATTTTTTTTAACATAAAAAAAGTCAATCTTGGAGGAAAAAAAAAAAAAAAAGGAAGCAAAAATTGAATTGGTTTTTATACGCAACCGAACAATCGAATATATTATATAAAAAAGGTAATTTAAATTTTTTTTTTTTTTTTTTGTTTTTGACCAGAGTTACAATACAAAATATACAAAGAATGGAAAGTTGATTTATTATACCTTGACACGATTTAGTGTCACTGACAAAAAACTATTAACAAATTAATAAGGGGAAGCAAACAAACAATTTAATTTTTTATTAAAAAACCAATCTAGGCAAATTAGGATAACAATTATCAAAGACATCTTATTCAATAAAAATTAATTTGGCGTTTGACCCCCATTTCTTTCAAAAAGGGATCTACACGAATTATTGCGACAAATTTTTTAATAAAGTAATTTAAACAATTTAAACATCATAAGAATCTCTATTCCTTAAATATTTCCCTTTTCACTTATTTAACTGCCACCATTTAAACTAAATGTCCGCTGTTTTTGGCATAATTCATCATCTGTCAGTTATTTTATTTCAACATAAACATTTATTGTAAAAATAATGATTATGTAATGAACCACAACATTTTTTTTCGGTTGCAAGTTCTTGCCCATATTAAGTGATTTGACTTGCATGGGTACTTAGATGAATGCGTAATGTTCATCCTTCCAAGGGTAATTTTTCTATAAAAGATCTAATTTTTTTATTTACCTTCTTTTTTAACATTTTAACTATTCTTGGATATTTTCATTCATTCTAGAGGATTGCCGCATCAATCTTGCTTATTATCACAAGGACGCCCTTTTTTTTTTTCTTTTTAAAATCTTATTTTACATTTTATCTTGAGATCTTTTTTTTTTATTTATTTCCATTCAACCCAATAATGGTAATAATTCTGTTCTAGACCTCAATTACGGAATATCGGAAAAGAAGATTATCTTTTTTTACAATCGGAATAAATAAATTATAAGAAATTGTGTGGTCTGCCAATGTAACCACAATCATGAATTGCTTACCATATATCATTTGACCCGGACGACCAAGCCAAAACAAAAAAAACTGATTCCAAATGCAAACATCTCGATCATCAAGTTTTTCTTTTTAATTATGTCTAATAATACGAACCCAGATCCTTACCTTCTAACCATTCTAGTAGGTAAACATTTGACCAAATCGTAGCGTAATCAACTAAGGTGTTGCACCTAATATCAAATGGTTAGTCAAAGATCGAATTTAACGCCTGCATTTGGGAAGGGTTTTCCTTGAAAAGAAGCAAGCGATTGGAATTCACGGGAACAATCTGTGTTTATTATACGTATATACGTATGATAGCGCCATCTACTTTAATGTATGTTCTACTGATAAGTGTTCATTTAGTCCTTATTCTTCCTACTCGGCTAGATTGGTCGTGTAACCCTTCATAGTATTTCATAGTAAGTAGGAGATGATCAAAGCAAAATCAATTCATGATCCACACCATTTCGGTTTTATTCTCAGGCATTCAAGTTATCCTGACACATTGGTGATGTTCAATTGAAGATGATGCGGGCGTATTGTTGGTCTTCGTTTCACAAATTAGGTTGTTAGATAAGCGGGCTGCTCGATTTGTTATTGTTCCAAGATTAAGGTTGTCTGGCTAACCGATTTTAGGCATTTGGCATTTCCGCAAAAGTTTGCTAAATAATTTTTTTTTCTTGGTTTCACCTCTTTTAAAGAGATCTCCTTGGCGTTTCGCCAATTTCAGGAAATTTATTGCGATCTCTTTCTGGTTATCTTTTTGTCGTCTCCATCATTTTGAATTATCTGACGATGACTTGCGCTGTGTCACGAGATATGAACTGATGCAATACCTCTTTGTTTATGCGTTTTAAATTCCACGTGGCCGGAAAATGAAAGAAAATATTTTCCTTTTTTTTTTTAATTGTGATTTGTATTCTTTCATAAAAGAAAAAACTTTGTATTCATGTCACAATTCTTGAAGAAAAAGGAAGGTCTGAATGAATTTAAGTGAATAGGTAATTTGGCTAAATCTAAGCCGAATAAGCCATCTTTTGATCAACAATAAAGCCAATTTGACTTATTCGATAAACCGAATCATTAAGCCAAACCGGGAGAAATTTACGCAAAGATAAGCCTGAAATGACGGTTCGGGCCGACTTTTTCGGTGTGGTTTTTTTTCACCATTTTTTTTTGATTATGATCATCATTATCTTGATCACGGGACCAATTATAAGGGTAAAAAAAAAGTCATCGCCAAGATGCGAAGCGCGGAATTAAATAAAATATTTATAAAGATTTGAAATTATTCCCTTATATAATCTTTCTCTCTTCGATTTATCTCATTCAAACCAACCTATTGACACGTAAAATAATGCCATCGATTAAATTGATTTTTCTTACAATTCTCGTCGTATTCAATTTTTGTGTCGTTTGTAAGTCCCTCTTAAATTTTTTAAAACGTGTTCGTTTTGTCATACTAAATTTTATTGCGTTTGTACAGCGGAAATTACAATTTTAACGCCAAATCCAAAATTTTATGGTGTCATTAATGAAACCTTGTTGATCACTTGGACTTCGAGTGGAAATGATGGTAAGCAAACATTCAAAGTTAGCCAAATTACATTTATTTCCATAACGACTAGCGAATGATTTTTTTTTTGTAAAAAAAAAAAAAAATTTAGACCCTCAACGTATTACGATTAAACTTATTTCGAAAACTCCAACCGAATTATTTACCGGAGAATACGCGGTGGGACAAAGCATTCCAACGTCAGACGGAAAATATGCATGGAATATAACGGATAATTTGGTCGGTGAAAACAACTGGATATTAAAATTTTATAATGCTTTGTCTGAATTGAATGAAAAAACTACTCCCGTTGCTCAAAGCAAAGAATTTAGTATTAAACCTGCCGGTACAGAACCTCCTAAAAATGATTCTTCTACCACTGAAAAGAAAAGTGATAATTCAAATTCTGTCACATCTCTTTCATATGCTTCTTTGTTCATCATCTTCACATCATTCATTTCTTCAGTCATTATGGCTAATTCATTAGATCTTAGAATTTAAATTGCTTATAGACTCAACTGTACAATATATATATATAAATGTATATAGATAGCAAGTAAATCTAACAAATAGAACGTATGAGTGAAATGCTGTAACGTACGCTAATATCTATTAAAGTTTAAAACTATCGTTTCAGCCATTTCTTTCCTGACCGCAGCAAAATATTCCTTCACTCTATTCTTTAAATTCTCTTTATTTTTCCAATTGGGTAATTCCTTTCAAAAATGATAAGGCAATTAATACCTTTCACAAAGCACTGTATCATTCCGTAATAAATGATGTTAAACTTACATTGAGCCGCTTGATGGTATTGTCAAAATACAATTGGACGTTTTTGATATCATCGTCCGTAACTGTTTCTGGATCCAACATTCCTGGAGGTGTTAAATAATCATCTGATTCATCCGTGTTGTTATTGCTTTCTTCGCCGTTGGGTGGATTTGCAAATGACACGTATTTATGCTTGTCAAGAAGTGCCACGCATCTATCAAAGGAATACCATTCATATGTTTCCTAAGGAACGAAAAGAAAAATGTTAAAAATATTGGCCCAATACAATATCCAATTTGATTATAATACAGACGGGATCCAATAAATCGGAAGGTTTATATTGTCCTTTGTATTTCATTTTTTGACATGTATGAATATAATACCCTACAATAAGATGAAATTGTCTAAATTAAATAAGAACTTACGGTTTTGACACGTAATAACATGTACGTACCCATATAATACCAATGCAAATCTTGTAATCCAGCATTACAAAATTCTTGTACCATTGCAATTTCTCTAAGAGCACTATATTTTCCAAGTTGTAAAAATCCATAATCTGTATCATACAAAAAATAGACCGAGGAAACACATTTAGGTAAAACATCAAGAACTGCAACTGCGATAAGCTTATCATCCAAATAATAACATTGGTGGAATGATCCATATCCTGGTATATTTGGTTTATCGGTTGCTTCAAACTTTTTAGTGGAGGAAAAAGAAATCAGTCTATAGATTATAGATTCAAAAAAAAAAAACTTTTTTTTTCTTTCAAGCAATCATGTTAAATATTAGTAAGTACATTTAAAGGCGAATTCACAAGGAATCTTTTAAACCCTCCTTCGGTGACCTCGTAAGGTTCATCGTTATGAACCTTGATTTGATATTTGCGGTATAGTTCATACTTTTCTTTAGAAAAAGAAGATTTCTCAAACACGATCTAATTTCACATAAACAGTCAATTTTAATACTTCAAGACAATTTTAGAACAAATATCATTATTTAAGAATATTACTCTTAAACGACGTTTCCAATCTTGTCGATCTTCCGCCTCATGAATGACTTCAATCAAATCAAAACCATTCCCTGCTTTTTTCGATGATATTTTAGCATCATTTTGTCGGGAATTTGTTCTTCAAAAATATAAAAATAATTTAATTATCTATTTGAAAAAAATCATTACAAAACATTATAATATTTATATAAATTTACTTGGATGTTTCATCGCCACCATTAACATCTTTATTCGCGGGATCATAAGTTCCTTCAACATATCGATTAAATCGAGTAATCAATTTTCGCTGAGATTTGGAGGCACGAAATTCACTCGCGTTCAATCTAATTTGGTTTAAAAAAAAAATATCAATATAAACATTTATAGGAAAATTCAATAAAAGGAATGATAATTTTATTATTGCCTTATAGTATACTGTGGACAGCAACATGCTCTCATGTGGGGTTTATAAAGATAATCACCAGAACTATATTTAAAAAAAAATTTAATAATAACATTTATTTTTCATACACGAAGGAATTTGCCAAGAATTCATTACCGTCGCCAACCGGCATCAATCAAATTTTGATAATCCTGTGAAATCAACTAATATTAATAAATTCAGTAATTATTATAACATATACGTGAAAAATTCAATTACCTCGCAGGTTAAACTAGTTGCACTCATACCGAATTTGTAAGAATAACCCGTTTTCGTTTCCGACTCACAATAACCACATGATGAACCATGAAAACCGTAACAATATACTAACGACATTTTAATCATACAGAAAGAAAGTCAAAGTTACCTACCCCGTTGAAATCAACTTATAAAAGCGATCGTGACACAAAAATCACGTGAATTTGTTTTAAAATGTGGTAATAAATTATAGATCATCATTTACAATTTTTTTTTATTTATTATACTATTTATAATAAATTATTTAAAAATTATTCTTTCGTAATGTTAATAATAATATTCACATTTAAGCATTTTAAATTAAATTGAAATTTTCGTCTTGCGTTTTAAGGAATGCTGATATTTTGAATTTCAGAAGGATTTTCTTTTAATGAGTGATCTTGATCTTGCTTTTCACTATCATCTACATTTTCTTCTTTTTCCGTTCTATTTTCATAAAAAAATATATATTAAATAAAAAAATCAAAAATCATATACATTTAAACCTGTTAAAGATTGTGTAACGTTTTGAGAAGTGTTTCGTAAGTGATTTATTTATACAATCAATACCAGTAGTACAAATGTTTTTAAAATTCTGATAATTTATCCTGAGCCATATGCAATAGAAAAGGGGAAATGGATGTAAAAAAAAAATAATAAAATGAGTTAATGCTAAATTTGGACACATTTTGACCTAAAAATCATATTTGACATAAAATTAAATTGATTTTTTCCGGCAGTTTCCCCCTTTTCTATTGCAAAGGTCCCATATGTTATATAGAATAGAACTTTTTGCTTTAATATCTACATAATCACGATAATTACTGGGGTTAATTCTCGATCGCAGGGCATATAAAAATAATTTCGATCGGCATATATTAATTAATTTATTATAATCCCGATCTATTTTGTAATTTTTTTTCAACAATATCGTAAATATTAATATAAACAGGATATATCATAGAGACCAAGCGTTTTGCTTCTTCCTTACTTTTTCCAAGCTCTTACAAGTCCTGAATCATTGAATCCTATCAAGTGAAAATGACTTAAAAGAATATTTTAAGAGCACAGACATAGGATAATGCAACAAATAAAAGACCAGAAGCATATTCTTTTTTTCCAAGTTCTATAACAGCTTTTAGTAACATTAATCCTTGGCTTTTATTAATATAGGTAAGGTTTATGAATTTGCAATTGTGAACAAGTTCTCGTATTTGTTTTCCAGAAGTATTGAATATAAGTAATTGTGATAACTTTTTTACCATCAGTGGATATAATCGCAGAACCAGAGTAATTATCAAAATCTACTAAAGTTGCAATTAAAAGAAAAGGAGAACTTAGGTTTCTTTGAACAAATATCAATTGTTCCTATTGAGTCATTAACTAACCTTATTTTCACATATATATTAGTATTGAGCATAATATGCATATCCTTAACCAATAATAGTTATGTTTTAAGATCCCAAAATAAGCCTTAGAAACCTTGTTATTACCTGTATGAATAGTACAAATTCTAGTAACAAAATATTTAAAGACTAATATTTATCTCATAAACATCAGTTTTTTGAGAAATAATATATATTTTATCTAAAAATTGTCATTCTCTATAGATAAAGAATTATCAAAGCATAAAAAGTATTCTTCAATCATCTATTATAGAATTACCATTATATATTATATTAAAATATCTTTAAAATTATGTTATTCATAAGAATTTTAGAGAAGGGGGAATTATGTTAAACACATTTTTTGCTTGATCTAACTTAACATTAGTATTAGCATTATTTAAAATATAAAAAAAAATTATTAATTTTTAATTTTTTAAAAAAAAATTCATATTAAATAAATATTTTATTATTGATTTTAAAATTTTTACTTCACAGTGGTCTCCTATTAGATGATGAGCAATTTTTTGCTATATGGCTACTCATTGACTAATATTTAAAATAATAATTCTGATATATTTATAGGATATTAGAATATTGACTAATCCAATAGCTAACCTATTACAATAGCAACAAGTATTTGATGAACTATAATAATTTCAAAAATGATTAGAAATAATTAGAAATTATAATGATAATGTAAATTTATTAAAATATTATTATTTACCTTATTGATTGATTTGAATTTGATTGCACTAACATTAATGGTAGTTGTAGTGATAATGATAATAGTGGTAATGGTAGTAGTAATGATAATAGTAATGTTACGTTTGTTATTATTGATGTTGATAAAAATAATGGTGATGGTGATAAGGGAAAAGAGAAAGGTGAAGGTTTAATTAATTGTAAAAATCGTGTATTAAATGATTATAAAGAATATAATTGTGATATTATTAAGGATTTTAATGATAATGATGATAATGGTGATATTTTTACAAAAGTATTTAGCATATTTCTGTGTGTTTTATAATTATATTTAAGAGTTTTATTATATTTTAATAATTTCTTTTAAAACAGATTTTGGCATTTAATTTTGATCTTTATTTAATCAGAAGTTTTCATTAGACATTTTTAAAATTTTTGAAAAAAAAAATTTTCAAAATTTATTTCTTCTTTTTAAATAAAATTTTAAGAAATAAAAAAATGTATTTAAATCTTTTATCAAAAAATCTAAAAGCTAAAAAAATACTTATATAAAATTGGAATAATTTTGTATCAATATGATCAAATGTAACTAGAAAATATATCATAAAAAAAAATTATTTAACTGATAAATTTCTATAAGAAAAATAAGTCATTGATTTTTTTAAAAATAAATTTTGATTTTTTGATAATGTAATATATAGATTTACAATAAATACTTTTACATAATTAGAATTACTTTGAGAAGAAACAATTCTTAATTATTTTATTGATTTTTTGATAATGTAATACATAAATTTATGATTAATATTTTTGCATGATTAGATTTACTTTAGGAAGAAATAAGTCTTGATTATTTTAAAAAATAAATTTTAATTTTTTGATAATACAATATGATGAGAATTTTTGTATAATTAAATTTACTTTAAAAGAAATAATCTTAATTTTTTTAGATTTTTTGATAATGCAA